TATTCTTTTTTGTTCTCTTCCGTGTTCCTTGTTGGTGTTTTGTATGCCAATACACGCACCTCTCTTATCGCTGTTTCTCTGATTCATTTCTATCTCCTATTCGTAGTGGATCTCTCGCTCTCTCTTTCTCCANTGATCAGGAATATGACAAAGTGAAGAGACGTCCATGTGCTTAACTGATTAAGCAGTACGCCGTGAAGACGTATGGGGGAGTTGATGTATAGATCCACGTACTCTTGACCTCGGTACTAGTTGGATGTGAGTGGTGAGCTTTACGTTCCGGCCGCTTTACCCGTGGTACCCATTACATAGGAGGCTGGGTGTGTCCCAGAACTTATTTCGACAACGTGGAGAGAGAAAAAAGTCTTTCCCATAGCAGGGCTTGAATTCAGACCCTTCGTGTCTTCTAGAATATGACGCCATTTAACACGGCAGAAGCTTACCGACGTTTCGGAGGAACCTGCTGGCCCTATCTTAAGAGTAGAGGAGTAAACTATCCGGAAGAATGAGGCAACAGTTTCCCCTGAAACTCTGGTAGACTTCTATCACACTACACGTTGTCACATTCTAGAAGACAGCTGTTTATTTAGTCATCGCTGTAAGAGCGTCCTATCTCGCCTTGATCCAGATCGGTGCATGTGTAAACAGATGACAATCGGAACCCATTTGAATTAACAATAAACGGAATAGATGTGATCCGTATTCTTTTTTGTTCTCTTCCGTGTTCCTTGTTGGTGTTTTGTATGCCAATACACGCACCTCTCTTATCGCTGTTTCTCTGATTCATTTCTATTTCATATTCGTAGTGGATCTCTCTCTTTCTCTTTCTCCAATCCCTGCATCTTCCGGTATCAAATCTGCACGTTTCAGCTATTCTCTCTCCTTCTCTCTTTGTCTCTCTCCTCTCTTCATAGCTCCTGGATGTTATTACGGCTTCCTCCTACAATTCTGCTGTCAGCCAAATGAATACAACATAAGATAAGATATATTTTTCATTTGTAGCTTATTTAAAAACGCTGCCAGTAGCTACTGTAGCTTATAGCATCGCCTGACTGGATGCTAGTGAATTGAAACAATTAATCTCCTAGTTTCCTTTGATATGACGCGGACCGTATAGAAAAAGACGCCTATTTATAACACCTCGGCGCATACCACACAGAAAACACCTCTCCAAGCAGTTCTATTTTTGCGTCATGTAGCTGTCGCTAGGACCGCATAGAGACCACGGCTTTCCAGTTACTCCACTGGTGAGCGTTGTGAATCTGCTGCGGCAATTACCTAGTAACGGCCGTTGTTTATAGAGCCATTACTTAGCAACGGGTGTTGTACAGTTGCCTATTTCGAGGTCGTTGCCTAGCATCGGGTCTACATGCCACAATATTTAAACTTCCTCTGTTATACATACATGAATGAAAAGGAAGCAGATTGTTCTGAATGGGAACGAGCCAGACAACCTTATCCGTCAATATAAATGAACAAAAAATAGAGGAAAGCCCCCATTTCTTTCTGCTCTTCGGTAGTACCAACAAATGAGGCAGTAAGCATGGTGTAGGCGATATTATATTTCTCCTTGATAATGCTTAGGTCTGTTTGCATTCTGTATATATAAAATTTTAAATTTACGTAAAATGTTCGTTCCAGAACGCTGAATTATACAATGTGATTCTAAATTATTGTCGGTGTTTCCGTGGCCGATAATTCTCAAATCGGAAAGAATAAAATAGAATTGCTAACAGAATATGAAAATGTAACTCAAGTAATTCTATTTGGCTTGTTGCAATCGCCGCAATATTATCTGAATGAATGTTTGTTATACTTTCTTCTTCCGTAAGGAGTTTAGTTTTCTTCGATTTTAAAATTAAAGGCCATCGGAAATCCCGACAGTAATTTAGAATCAAACTGTATTTTCCGCCTCTTAATGCAGGAGTATCTGATAACATAAAGAAATTCTATTCCTTACTAATTAGGTCCTATGTTGCCTTGAGGAAAGCCTTAATGAAAGCCGAAATAGTGACACACCTCCATTTTCTTTTTTCGCGATACAGAGATGGTTAGGAAAAGAAATATTTTAAAAAACCACTTTCATCATCATATGTTATAGGCCTATAGCGTTGATTGACACCTGAAGATAATAAGGAACAAATAGGTGAAAGTTTGATTGGATGCGATATTTCCTTAGTGAGGATAGCAGGGATTCAAACCGGTGATCTCTCCAATACATGTCCTTACCCCACTAGCTGCCTGCCTTTGACAACGGGACTATTGCCACTGCAAGCTTCTGTAGAGGACACAGAATAAGGATATCTCCCTGAGGTTAAAGTGCACAAAGGTCAATGAGCAGTTGCTACCCTCTTAAGAGACAGTTCACGTGAGAAACCTTGTAAGACGGAAGCTGTGTCCAATTTACATCTAATCACTGTAATTTATTAGAAGACATTAAGACTGTACACTGGACCAAATTAGTATGACAAGCGTGTGTTATGTTACCAGCTAAACTAGCTGGTACTGAGCACGTTGCCACAGTAGTGACGAGTGACTTCTGGTAAGGAGGTACACGGTTTGAATCTTGGACATTCTCATCTATATTTCTCCTATACCGCAACGAGGGGAATTATGGGATAAATTTTTATATATCTCTACTGATTATTTCGCTTATACGTTCGTGAACTTGAAACCAAATTATTAGATGATGAATAGTTTCTACGTTTGAAACGGCGTCGTTTCACAGCCTTGAGTCAATTAAGACGGGTTTGAATGGATGAAAATTTGTAGATGTAAAAGCTTTTATATTATTAAGAAGGATTTAAAATATAAATAAATAAAATAAATAACGAAGTCCAATATATGCATTCATAATAATTCATTCTCCTTATAAACGCCTATCGTGTATACGTGAGTACATTGCGAGCCTACGTGTTTCATATCTGAAATTAGTCCTTGTTTCTGTAGTAATTGGCGGATAGGTATCCCTTAATACAAGATTTCTGAAGAAAAAAACTTGCGCTATCCTTGTAACAGGCCGCGAAGGCCCATAGGGTTGTGAGACGTTGAGGGTCCCACACTATCTAGACAATCGGCTCAAAGATGGCGGCAAGGTTGTCAGATTTGCGCGCCAGCCGCACTTTACTCCGCAGGAAAATTATTTACTTAATTCCTGGTACTCATATCTGTTAGAGGATGAGTCGACCCCAGGACCATAGTGCGGCTGGAAGGATTAGGTAAATTGAAAAAAACCAATGACCTCATCGGGAACTGAACCCGCGACCTTCCGGCTTGTATCTGAAGAAGTAATTTTAATTTATATTGGTCCAATATTTTTTAAAGTCGACTTAATTTGAGATTCAGATCTAATTATAAAACACTCTTACGAAATATTGCTAGACTTGCATACCGAAATTAAAATTTCCAAGAGCTTTGTTATAAGGAAACAATAAAAATGTTGAAAAATATTCGAAAGTTGAAAAAGTAAAAAAAAAAACTACGTATCAAATTTGTGAAATGTTTAAAGCTAATAAGATTTGTAAAACTATGGTCAAATATGATATTTGAACTTTTTTGAAGATTTAAAAAATTGTCAGAATTTTTACTAAATTGCCAACATTTCTAAATCTTTTACAAACTTTCAAAATCACTTTCAAATGAGTTTATTTATATTTACCAAAGGAAGAACAAAGGAAATCGAAAAGACCAACATATAAATAATACAACCATATTAATATCAGTTTGTTACGAAGGCTCCGTCCTTTCAGGCCTTACAAAAACACAAATAATGGTTCTTTTAGGGTACCACGGATGGAGGAAAATAAGTGAATCTTTTCGTGGGAGTAAGAGGGCCTGGGCATAAAGCTGGCCGCTCACATTCATGTTATGTCATGCTTCCATGTAGTGCAGTTATGCCTCCTGCCCCCTAGCGGTAGGACTGAGAAAGAGACCGCTTTCATTTTTCCTCTACCTTCAGGCAAATTCATACTGAACTCTTCATTCATTATGAATACGACTTTCAGGCATGCGCGATTTCATTGTTTCGTTAACCTGTTTTCCTCTTCTTATTAAAGGTAAATTTAAAGTTGTTCCTGTGCTTAACTAATTAAGCTCTACGCCATGAAGGCGTATGGGGGAGTGGATGTATAGATCCATATTTACTTGACCTCGGCACTAGCTGGAGATGAGTGGTTAGCTTCACTCCCTTGCCGTTTTATCCTCGGGGAAGAGCCCCCGGTACCCATTGGGTAGGAGGTTGAGTGGACCCCAGAAAGAAGAGAAAATTCTTGTCCCTATTGGGACTCGAACTCCGACCCCTCGGTCGTCCTGCCCGTAGCCAGTCGCTATATCGACTGAGCTATCCAGGCTCTCACTCTTCTTATTAACTCAATCTAAGTTTCATGAAAAGATCGATTGCATTCAGGAGGTCAGACCAGATCAATAAGAACCATAATTGGCTATGCATATTCCGCAAAATCTCGCAAGCAAAACTCAAACATTTCATTCCGTAAAAAGCAACACAGGTCTGTAACATTCCTTGGCCACCCCGCCAGTAATTAGCTGTCTTTTCTGTTGACTTGAGCAGAGGTTTCCAGTTTATTATAAGGCTCCAGCAACGCCCTCCTAACAAGCAAACAAGTACTAATGTCACCACACATGAGCCCACCCCCCACAAGTCACGGCGCATCCCCTCCTAGTCAGTTTTTGCTGCTAGTGAGCCCAAACAGAGGTGAAAACTATCCTATCGCACCAGCACTGCCTCGTGATTGGCACGGCTGACATTGATGGACGGTGTAACCATGACAACGTGTCTACGATCGGCCAATCAGGGAGGAGTCTAGTAACAAAGATTTCCCCCACCGCTGCCGCGCACTGGAAGGGTGAGAGACTGCTTCTCGTATAGGAGCGCGCTGCCGTGCGAGAGGAGGAGGGGTTTCTGTGTGTATGTGTGAGTTGCTAGTGATGATGTTGATTAGGGCGACAGTGACACTACGTGTCTTGATAAGTCGTGACACGGATAGGCCATGATGACGATTTACTAGGCAGTGGATGCGTGGCGGACAAGACATTGGTCCCGCCAGCCACCAGGAGGCTGGCTCTCCCGTGGTCGCGGTGGATCCTAGGCAGCAGACACCGTCACCGACACCCCATCTGCACCACCACCTCCACGAAGAGGACGAGTTTCCCGGTCAGAATCGCATGGTGGCCCATGCAATGGCTCTCGGACTCGGTGGCCTGAGCGCCGTCCATCCGCAGGGACTGGGTCCGTCCTCCGCGGCGGCGGCAGCAGCGGTGGTGGCTGGGGTCAACTCTGTGGCGGCTTTGGCGGCGGCGTCCGGGGGCGGTGCGCCGGCAGTAGTCGTCCCGCCGCCCCCACCCCTAATACCTAGCCCGATGTTCGCATTACCGACGCTGAATTTCACAGTTTCGCAAGTGGCCGCCGTGTGCGAAACACTGGAAGAAAGTGGTGACATCGAGAGGCTCGCCCGCTTCCTCTGGTCCTTGCCTGTGGCCCACCCCAACATCTCAGAACTGAACAAAAACGAGGCTGTGTTGCGGGCGAGGGCCATCGTCTCCTTCCATAGCGGCAATTACAGAGACATGTACACAATATTAGAGCACCATAAGTTCACTAAGGAATCTCACGGCAGGTTACAAGCGATGTGGTTAGAGGCGCATTACCAGGAGGCAGAGAAACTCAGAGGACGTCCTTTAGGGCCAGTGGATAAGTACAGAGTTCGTAAGAAGTTCCCGCTACCCAGAACGATCTGGGATGGCGAACAGAAGACACATTGCTTCAAGGAGAGGACCAGGAGTCTCCTGAGGGAGTGGTACCTCCAGGACCCGTATCCTAACCCCACGAAGAAGCGGGAACTGGCACAGGCGACGGGACTCACACCAACTCAGGTCGGAAACTGGTTCAAGAACCGACGGCAGAGAGACCGCGCGGCCGCCGCTAAAAACAGGTGAGTGGCAACTATATCACCTTATCTTAGAATAATAGTGTCAGGCCATTTGGAACGCAAAGAAACGACGTTAAATAAGTAGCATTAAACAGACAGAATGAAGGGAAAGTTGTTATTTTGTTAACGGTTGTTTCGAATCGTCATTTTATTTATTATATTACGCGTTGAAGAGTTTTGTGAAAAACATAAACTTAAAAACGTCTGGAACTTATTTGTGATTGAAATTACGGTAAACGAATCTCAAGTTTCAGTACTTATTTACACGCACAGATCATATACATTTTATATTTTACCGGGCATTGCAGTGCAAGGACATTTCAGACTTCCCAGAACAGAATAGTATGTCTGCAGAAAAACGTAAGTTAAAACCAATTTGCCGTCTGTGATCGTATAATTTATTTTAAAACTGCAACTTATGTCTTGTGATGTGCTGTCTATTTCTTCGTCTATTTTGTCAGTCCAACGACAATCGTTCTATCAGGTGTCGGACCTAGTTAAGTCCCTGTCTTTAAGTAATCACGAAAATGATAGAAAATATTCCATTCCATGAATAACTTCTGGTACATAGCTTATCTTGTATTGAAACAATCTTACTTTTTAATTACTTTCATACACTTAAACAAATTGGAGGAACACCGTTCAACTACGCTCACTTAGTAACGTACATTTGTACGAACCCGTTCGTACGTGTCTGTGATACATAGGCCTATATACACGTCAGCGGGGCCTCCCCGTCTATGTGCTTCTATATAATGTGATGTAACAAACAAAAGTGGATCTCTTTAACTTACTGCGAAGTCTGGGTTCTCGGTTTTTAAGTAGGAAAATAGGCATGATAAAGATCTGTTGATAGTAACTAGTACGATAAATATTAATTTTCAAATAGACTTACACCTAGCGCCGTATATTCAAACATTCCTCAAGTATGCTTTTATTATGGGTGTAAGCCCATACTATAGGCCTATTAGTCTATTCTTATAGTTGACTAAGAACAGGACATCAGAATAAAAACTGGAAATGCTGATTGACGCCATGTTCAACTTTAATAATTTACGGTTTTTTAGTTGATTCCTGTTTTCTACGTAGGAGGCCGTAAATCTCTTTAAATTGTAAATTCAAAGTGTCCCCTTGAAATGAAGTGCTAATCTTTTAATTAATATTAGTAAAATTTGTGTCTGCATGTAACTTGCTAGTTTAAATTGTTAAGCGCTGTCTTTTCTTGTACAAATTAGCAATCCTATTTTATGGTGTAGCAATGAACTTTTGCGGACAGACAAACCTATACAGACCTATATTTTAATATTTTAGTATGTCGAACATAGAGTTTATTCCATGCGCTGCGTTGCTTATGTGAACTGCACTTAATGCGAGTGAGCATGATGGAGCGAGCGGGTAGCATTTTTAATGTTACTCTATTTGTTGCCTGGAAAGAAATGCAGTGTGTTGCTTTGAACGACCGGTGTTGACATTTTATTGCTGCAAGTCCAGCCACTGAGCGAGTGTGATCAGTTGAGTATCTCACAATTATTCAAGTTCACTTGTGAGCCCATTCCGCTTTCAAAANGCTCAGTCGGTATAGCGACTGGCTACGAACTGGACGGCCGAGGGATTGGAGTTCGAGTCCCGGTAGAATTAAGAATTTTCCCTTCTTTACGTCGTCCAGACCGGCTCTGGAGCCCATCCAACCTCCTATGCAATTGGTACCGGGGGCTCTTTCCCCCGGGGTAAAGCGGTCGAGGCCTGAAGCTGACCACTAGTCTCCGGCTAGTGCCGAGGTCAAGAAATATGGATCTATACATTCACTTCCCCATACGCTTTCATGGCCTAGTGTTCAATTAGTTAAGCACGGGGACAACTTCACCTTATAATAATAATAATAATAATGATGATGAAAAAGTAAAGTTGTCCTGCTTAATTAAGCACCACGTTATGAAGGCATATGGGGTTCTGGATGTACAGTTCCGCGCATTCTTAACCTCGGTACTAGATGTTGAGGTGAGTGGTCAGTTTCACACCCCGGCCGCTTTACCCCAGGTGAAAGAGGCCCCCCGATATCCAGTTTGTCGGATGTGCCTCAAATGCCGCGTGGACGCTACGAAGAAGAGAAAAACACGTTGCTTCTGCCGTGAATCGAACCCCATTTTCTCGGTCGTACAACCCGTACACTACTGACGGTATCGACTGAGTTTTCACTACTATTACTACTACTACTACTACTACTAATAATAATAATAATTCAATTCAATTCAATTCTTTTCAATTCTTGGTTTTATTTACGTGCTGTACTCAACAGCTGGTAGCCAATTACAGAGTCAGCACGAGGACACAATATACAGAGAGATTGATGAAAATAGTACAAAAATTCAATTGCAAATATGCACAATTGAAAGAACATAATTAGATGTTAGAGACGAAACCAAGCAGTGTCTAAGTAAAACATATGTCAAAGGTACTACAGAAGTAAATATATTAATGAAGAAGTGACAACAAGTGTCATGCAAACAGTAACATGAACAAATTAAATAGACACATTTTTTAATAATAATTACAATAATAATAAATATAAGAATAATAATAAGAGAAATTAATTATATTTTAGGACTGAGAAATGAGATGTTTAGATAATTAATTGAGAAATAAATCTGATGCAACTATAAGAACAATTAAATAGTTAGATTTTTTAAACTTATTTTAGAATTACTAAAAATGTCTAAAGAATTACACACTAAATTAGCAGCAGAGACACATCTGGCTGACGGGCAGTGACTAGAGGAGCAGCAGAACAGGGAAAAATTACGGATGTTCCGAGAGGGAGCTCGAATACCAACTGTTTCTAGGACCGAAGGACAGTTTTTGTCACCTTTAAAAACACATATTAGGAACAAGGCGTCTATGTGGCGACGCCTAGTGTGGAGTGATCGCAGATTTAACATATCAAGCATATTGATGTAATGATACTCCGTGTCGTGAAAAAATCGGTTGTGGCAAAGTGCTGCGAATTTTCTTTGTATACGCTCAAGTTTATTAGAGTCAGTGTTGGTCACAGAGTTCCAAACCACAGAAGCGTACTCTAATTTAGATCTGACAAGGGCAGAATATAACGTCATTAGACTGTCTAAGGTGGAAAATGAG